CCCCCTCCCCCTCCCCCTCCCCCCGTTTAAAGTTAATTTCAAATTTAAGTTTTTTATCAAACAAAAATAATAGATTTATCATCATTTTTAAAGGAACATAAGTTATTTTTAACAAATTGGTAAAAAAGTAATAATATTTACTAGCTAAAGACATAAAAAAAATGAAAGCAAAAAATAAAATAAATAAAAAATAAATGGGGCATGGGCCCTGCCCCGCCCCGCTTTAATCGGGTATGGGGGTGGGGTAAGGTAACAAAAATATCCGACAGGACGAGGGTGGGAATGGTCGACCCGTCTAATACTCGTTTCGTTGCCATCTCTATTCATAGATCCACTTTTTTATCGATTCATAGTGTATTGGAAACTTTACCCCCTGTTTGTTGTAAACTAAAATTAGATTTTTAATAAATTTTGATAAAAATTAATGGAATGTATGGTTGAAAAGTTGTGAATCCCATAAAATATGTGATTGGAATTAGTTGTTGACTTTAATTTGAGATTAAAATAAAATTTTAATTTGTACCAAACATGGAGTTAATTTGTGTCAAACTGCAGATATTTTAAATTTTTTTAAGATATCACGAATTAAAAAAAAAAAAAGAGCAGGCTCAGCTCGACTAGACCTGAGCCGAAAGCCCGAACCAAGCTTCAAATTTCCAGCCAAGCCACCTCGAACCAAAAAAAGACAGAGTCATTTTTACTCGAGTCAAGTCAAGCCCCGACCCTCGAGTAAGCTCCCATTATTTAACGATTTCAGGACATTTTTAAACGTGGACCAAAAATGACATCTTGAAGAACCAAATGTCGAAAAATTGAGTGGGGATTCGAGTGCAACAAGCTGTAATGTTTGAAGACTGTGAGTTATATTTCCTTTATATTATTTGAATAGATTAATCTATATTCTTAAGGATAAAGTGGAAATAATAAAAAACTATATATATAATCATGACCAACTCGCTATTTTATATAAGCAGTGACAGACCTAAAGTAGTTAGAGTATAATAATGCATTAGATTCGAGAGAAAAATTATGAACAACCATTTTATAATGCACAGGTTCGAAAGAAAAAAAACACAGTTTTAACAGAGTTAGAGTAATTCACATACAACATAAGATTTATAAATCCACTTTTTTATGGATTCATAGTGTATTGAAGAAACTAACAAACACACTTTTTTTTTCTCTGTCTCTCGACGTAGGTAAAGAACGACCATCTACCAAGTCCTTGTATATTTGTAGGGATGTTTGGGAAACTTTAATACGAATACTGTGTATTCAATATAAGCCCAATTTAGTTGATGAATAATCTGAAAGAAAACATACAAAATGATGACACTTCGCACAATTCTAACAACGCGTTCTCATATCATGTAAGAAAATGAGAAAGTAAATAATACTGAAGTGTGCTTGAAACGTGGTGGATATATCATAATGATCGATATTTGGTTACAATCCAATGTCACCTTTCATATGATTTTCTTAGAAGTCAGGCTCAGACGAAGTGGCTTGAAATGAGTTATCGGGTCTGATTCTGTGTGACATATAATGAATTGTACCTCCCTAATAATCAATAATTTTTGGACGAACTTGTTGCATTTCTTTATATCAGTTGCTATTAGAGCTCGATATCCCATGTTCGATTGAGCATTTCCATTGATGGGTGTATGTATTTACGAGCATGCTTGAAAATGAGTGAGACTTCATAAGGTGTCCTTCAAAGATAGGTCTAATAGAATGGATTCACATGCCTGTAGGGTTGGTAGCCGAGCGGCATCCTCATTTCAATAAATTAAAAGGAAAAGGCACCTCTTAGTAAAGAAAAAGAATGTGCATAAGTTTATAAAAAATGATAAATCTAATATCGATGTGGTCATAATATGGCTCTGTTTTGAAGAGATTTAGATTCTTCTACATTAAATCAATTCTCATTTTCAACCACACATTTTTCAATAAAATAATATTTTCTATCACATCAATAATTTTTTCTTCTTATTCAACTACACATCTCTCATCATATCACTATTCAAAATCAATTCTTCCCCCGAAAATCCCTCCCAAACAAGCTCTATAATCTATTTGATCACAAGAATATTATATTTAAT